GTAAGGACTGCACTGTGCCCCTGTCGTCTTTGATTCTGTCCTTTGTCACTTGAGACGTCTGACCACTGGGGCTCTGACTTCGAGCAGGAAACGTGCGAGTTCCCATCTCACTGTGAGCTGACTGCAGACTCCGTCCTCTGCGGCAGCAGCAGGTTCCGGAGGTCGCCCTGCCCACCAGCAGGCTCACAGCAGGAGTGACCGCTGGCCTGCCTTTGTCGCGGGAAGCTGGAGCAGCCCCTGGCATTCCCCGTGAACCTGTGTGCGCATGCACACATGTGGCCACCCCACTGTTAGTGTTGAAAACGCAGTTCCAGTACACGGTCTGATGCGGATTTACTTCCTGACCTCGGCTACTATGGCCTTAAATCTTTCTGTGTGTTTTTAAAGTGATTCTTGAACTTTTTCTCCTCACCTAAAACATTTCATTAAAGTTTCCCTGTAAGGAGGTCACATCCCTAATTGGAAGGCATTTTTAGTTTATCTCTGTAATAGAACACGAGGATCTTCTCCACTGTGGGAACATGAATGCTGGCCCCGTGCCAAGGGCACTGCCAGTCACTCCGAGGAACCTGCGTAGGGCTGGGGAGTGCCCCGTTTGCCCTTTGCCTCCAGCCCCGAGGACTCGTGTGCAATCTCTCCAGAGATCACACAGTCTCACTGCTCTCCCTGCCTGTTCTGTTGGGAGGTGAGTGTTTAGGGATTGTGGGGGATGGCAGATCTGCCTGAGCAAGAAGAAGGGCACATCCCCAGGCAGCCCCTCTGTGGGGCTGTGTACCCCAAAGCAGGTGTGTCTGGGACCCACACTTGACCCAGGAAACGCTAGCGACTGTCGTGCGCTATCAGACCACTCCCAGCTCCAGCCACTGTGGCCCGTGTGTGTTAAAGAGTGCTTCTTGTAAGTTCAGCAGTGGGACTGCAGGTACCGCACGTGATACGTTTCTTTAAAATCAAGATGTGTGACTTTAGCAAAATCTCGTGGCCGAGCACTGCCTGTCAGGGAAAGCAGTGGGTGATGGGGCAGCTGTGTGAGGAGCTCCTCCCGGGAAATGTGGGAGTAAGTGCAGCTGCTGGGAGCCCGAGCCGCTGAGGGGTCACTGGGAGAACAGCGCCTGGGATGAGCAGTCGTAGCCGCCGAGAGGTCGGGGCCTCGGCATCAGACACTCGGGAGACGGCTCGGTCCCGAGTACTGGAAGAAACCACCAGCGCTTGGTCAGGCTTTTCAGCGTGTCTGTCTGAGAATTGACATTTCTACCTTCTGGTTTTCACACAAAGGAAGATAACTTTCAAATTCTTTTGTCTTACTTCTCTGACTTCTTGGGCATTTGATCAGAATTAAAAGTATTACAGAACATTGCTAAGTACTTTATCGCAGCAGCCACCAGCCATCAGAATCTGACTTTGTCCCTGTATTCTAGAAGACACTGTGGTAGACGTCATGAACTGTAGTGCAGTAGCATGGATGTAGATCACACCTGGTGAATGTAGGATGCTGAGCTCAAAGTAGAGCCGCCGTTGTCACGTGCAGTATTTAACCCTGTGCGCAGCACGCAGGCATGAGAGGCGGGCCCTGCTCCACGACGCTTCTCTGAAAGAGGACTAAGAGCAGCCACAGAATTGTAACCTCAAGAGAACTGTACGATTTGGAGTGCCTTACTTTTTAACCAGTTTCCAATAAAATGGTTTAATACACACTTGTAGTTAAGACACTTTGTCTCTTGTTCCACCCCTCAGAGTGGTGATCCTGTGGAGAGCTGGGTAAGCTGAGGTGCCGGGACTTGATGTGAAACGTGTGAGCAGTCTTTACATTTCGGCACCTGTGGCCCGGCGGGGTGGCCTGGGCTGTCTCAAGTCATCCCCCTGCTCAGTGCCTCCTGTCTGCACTTGGGTGCTGCATACAAAGAACGGGGAGAAAGTTCTCTGCCTTTGCCATGTAGGCACCTGGCTCCCTGTTTGAAACACAAGCCAGTGGGCACTGCATGTGCACCCCCACACTGCCCCCTCCTCCAGGAAGTCTGCCTGGTTCCGGGAGAGGCCGCCCCCGCCTCAGAGGCCCTGCCTGAGTGATGTGATCTGCGTCCTTGGCCCTTGCCTGCTCTGAACTGGGAGGCACGGGTCAGCAAGTCCAGGACAGAAATCAGAAGTGGACCTGGGCGTAGTTCAAGTATGCCTTGCCCACAGGAACACCAAGTCAGCGTGGGTACAGCCTGACTATCCCTGGAGTGCAATGGGAGGCTGTACCCATCTCCCAAGGTCAGGTCTCCCCCACCCTGTGGTGGGACCTGCATCCCAGAAGGTTCTCTCCCACACACATTCAGACAATGCAGACTGACCCTCATCCTGTCACCAGACCAAGCCCTTAGGACAGGGTCTCTGAAAAGCCCAGTGTACAAAGCCCCTCAGGCTGCCAGGCCCTGTCCTGGGCATGTGCTGCAGAGGGTAGGGCAGGCCCTGCTCTGAAGAAGAGCCTGCGGCAGCAGAATGCCACCCAGGTGGGGCCATGGTGGGCACCAGTGGCTCTGGGCTCCGTGTGTGCTTTGCGGCGGCCTGGCTTGGCACACAGATGTGTACCCCATAGTTGCAATGCCCACTACTTCTTGGCTTTGGCTCACCTTGTGGTCCACCTCACACTCCCAGCCCCTAAGAGGTTACTTCCACAGCCGCCTCCAGACCCCAGCATTCACCATCTGAGACCCTCCGACTCGGGGGATGGGACTCACCACAGTGCGGTGGGCAGAGCCTTGTGAGGGTCAAAGTGACGTGTCCTCTTGACCAGGCTAAGGATCACCCAGATGCACAGGTGGGACTGCGTGGGGCAGATGAGCCCCCACCGAGGAGGAGCTGGAGGGTGGGAGGAACACTTCTGCCGACTTCATGAGCTGGGACATTGATGGGCCATGGTGAGCGACTGTTCTAATGCACTGCTGGGTTTGATTTGCTAATTCAAGAGTTTTGGATGTAGACTCGTAGTTGAAAGTAGAGCATTTCTTTTTCATGCTCTCCTGGGGTCAGAGTTGAGTTTCCATGTTGAGGTTTGGTAGGAGTGTGTATCTGGTGTAGTGGTTGCGATGCCACCTGGGAGCATGTGAGTTCCCGTCCCAGCTCCTTTCCTGATTCCAGCTTCCTGCTGGCGCACACCCTAGAAGGCAACAGGTGGCTGGAGTGGTCTGGTTCCTGCCACCCACGTGAGTTCCTGACTCCTGGCTTCCGCCTGGGTCAGCCCTGGCTGTTGCGGGTATTTGGGATGTGAACCAGTGTATGGAAGAGTCTTTCTGCCTTTCAAATAAAATAAGTAAAAAGATTTTTACAAGTTTTGTAGATCTTTTAATAACCTGGGAGATGTCTTGTTTAGGGAACTTAGATATTTTAATACTGTGCCAGTTTCTTCCATACTTACATTCAATGTCTAGTTTTTAGAACTAGTTAATATTTTTTCTAGAAAGTCATATTAATCTAGGTTTTCAAGTGTGTTGATATGACTTTGTAAATAATATAAACCTTAAAAATATCTCCGGGGGTGGGGATCAGTGCTGTGGCGTAGTAGGCTGAGCCTCTGCCTGCATCCCATATGGGTGCTGACTTGCTCCATATGGGCGCCCAGCTGCTCCACTTCAGCTCCAGCTCCCTGCTGTGGCCTGGAAAAGCAGCAGAAGGTGGCTCAAGTGCTTGGGCCACCTGTACCACGTGAGAGACCTAGAACTGGCTCCTGGCTCCTGGCTTCAGATCGGCCCAGCTCTGGCCATTGCAGCCATCTGGGGAGTGAACCAGCAGATGGAAGACCTCTCCCTCCCTCTGCCTGTGCCTTTCAAACAAATCTGTTTTTAAAAATCCCTCTAGTGAGTTTTTTGTTTATTATACTTTTCACCTCCTGAACTTTTTTGGTTTGGGTTTCCTTTTAGGTTTTCTATTAATATTGCTATTTTAAATGTTCGTGCATTGGCTTTAAAACAAAAAAGATTGATTTATTTGAAAGTCAGTTACAGGCCAGCGCCATGGCTCAATAGGCTAATCCTCCGCCTTGTGGCGCCGGCACACCGGGTTCTAGTCCCGGTCGGGGTGCCGGATTCTGTCCCGGTTGCCCCTCTTCCAGGCCAGCTCTCTGCTGTGGCCAGGGAGTGCAGTGGAGGATGGCCCAGGTCCTTGGGTCCTGCACCCCATGGGAGCCAGGAGAAGCACCTGGCTCCTGCCATCGGATCAGCGCGGTGCGCCAGCCGCGGCGGCCATTGGAGGGTGAACCAACGGCAAAAGGAAGACCTTTCTCTCTGTCTCTCTCTCTCACTGTCCACTCTGCCTGTCAAAAAAAAAAAAAAAAAAAAAAAAGTCAGTTACAGAGAGATCACCCCGATATGGTCCCAGTGGCCAGAACTGAGCCAGACCAAAGCCAGAAGCTTCATCTGGGTCTCCCAAGTGGGTGCAGGTGCCCACTTGTACCGTCTTCTGCTTTCCCAGGCGCATTAGCAGGGAGCTGGATCAGATGCAGAGCAGCCGAGACAAACCATATGCAGCGGCTTGAACTATGACACTACAACCCAGCCCCCTACTCGGTTTTCTTGGCTTGATCACATTTCCCTAAAGTTCTGTGAGAATATATATTTTTTTAGATTTATTTTATTTAAAAGAGTTACACAGAGATAGATGGAGAGGCAGAGAGAGAGAGGTCTTCCATCGCTGGTTCACTCCCCAATTGACCACATCGGCTGGCGCCCCAGCGATCAGGAGCCAGGAGCTTCTTCCGGGTCTCCCACGCGGGTGCAGGGCCCAAGGACTTAGGCCATCTTCTGCTTTCCCAGGCCACAGCAGGGAGCTGGATGGGAAGTGGAGCAGCCGGGACTCCAGCCGGCGCCCATACGTGGTGCCTGCACTGCAGGCGGCGGCTATACCGCTATGCCGCAGCGCCGGCTCCCTCTGAGCATCTCTAAGACAGTTCGTTTTGAAGCCTCCATCGAGTGGGTTAGCAACCAGGTACTTTCCAGGCACATTTCCTGTTCATTTTATTTTTTCTTTCAATGGACCAAGCCCTTTTTTTTTTTGGCTTCCTTGTGACTTTTTGTTGAAAACTGGCCCTTTGACACTAATAATGTGGTAACTCCGGAACTCAGATCCTCCCCCTCCCCCGTTTCCTCTCTCCATTATTGTGACCATTAGTAGTAGTATTGGCCGTCTCTGTGGCAGGGGTCAGCCTGGGGTGGGAAGTTGAAGCCTGAGCACTCTTCTGAGTCTGTTCCTTTCCCTGGGCATGGGCAGTGAATTTCAAATTTGCGGTTGATTTTGATGTCCTAGATATTAAATGTCTAGCTCCCAAAATGGTAGAGAGAGATGAGGGGTGGCGAGGGCTGGCAACAGTGGCCATGACCTCTGTGCACCGCTATGAGAAGCAGTCATGAGAGCACAAACTTGCCACATGGAGAAAATCCCTGTATGATGAGAAGCGGAAGTCACACCGCAGATCTCCCATAAGTCTATGCACCTCTGTGATCAGAACCTGTCGTCAGAGCACGGATCTCACAGGTGGAGGACAGGGTCCCTTTTGCTCACTGGCTCCGTCCAGCTGTGTGCAGGCTGCTCCAGGAGTGTGTGCCCCACAGCTGCCTGTGGTGGGCTGCAGGACTGGAGATGGGGAGCCTTAGTGCACTCAGCTGAAATGAACCACATACCCCTGGGTACTGCCACGTTCCAGGCTGTGGCGTTCTAAGGTTTCCATCAGACGAGTTCCGGCCACACAGTTGTCGTCTAGGAGGAGGCAGACTGGCGCTTCCTTCTCCCTCACCTGAATCCTCTCCCTTGATACCTTTGCTGTTAACGCCATGTCTTCTTTCAACCACGTTGACGCTTATTTTTGCCACTTTTTTTTTTTTTTTTAATGTCATATGTGATATTCCAAGGCCCAGCAAGAAACAGAAGGCGTGGTCAGCTGTGGTAACGAAGGAAAATCTGACGCAGAAGATGCTCACATACAGGCAGGGTCAGGTGTGACTGTCACGCGGGGGCTTCCTCGCCTGCCTCTGGAGGCATGGAGGGAGGGTCGCTAGGCCACCTGCGGCCTTCAGTCCAGAGCTGCAGCCACACACGGTGCCGGGCAGGGAGGGGCCCAGGGGCACTGTGCTCAGCGGTGGCAGAACCCAGACCAGGCGTGGGGCAGGCACATGATGCTGCAGCCCACCCAAACCCAGTCTGCCGCCTGCACATAGCCCGCGTCCAGCGCAGCCCGCCGCCCGGTACTGCCCTCCCCCTACTGAGAACTGCCGTGCGTGGGGTGTGTGTGTGTGTAAGATCCGTGTATCTGAAAGGCAGAGTGACGCCAAGAGACACAGTCACAAATGCCCACAACAGCCCTGACCAGGCCAGGCTGAAGCCAGGAGCCGGAGCTCCATCCGGGTCTCCCCCGGTGTGCAGGGGCCCAGGCCCTCTGCCGCCCTCCCGCGCGCCTCCGCAGGGGGTGGGTCAGGGGGCCGCCGCCCGCAAGCCGCGGCACGGCCCTGGCCCCATCGTGCTTCTTAACTCCACGGCTCCATCTGGCGACTTTTCTGGCGAGCACTCGGGTCTTCCCGGGGTCCCCAGACAGCCGGCTTCTGCCTCAGGAGCGCCCCGGCGCCGCCGGCCCCGCCCCGCCCCGGCGCTGCCGGCCCCGCCCCGCCCCGCCCCGCCCCGCCCCGGCGTTGCCGGCCCCGCCCCGCCCCGCGCGCAGGGGCTGTCGGGAGGCGCTCGGCGGCCGCCCTTCCGGCCCGCGCGGGTTTGCACGCCCACGGCCCCTCGGGCAGCCCGTGCGCGGGAGGGAGGGCCCTGCTGCCAGGAGGCCGGGCGGCCGTGAGCCCTGAGGAGCTGGGGAGAAGAAACCGGGCGCCGCGGCGGCGGGAGCGGCCTCGCTCGCTGGGGCGCCCCCTGGAGGGCCGTGCAGGCGGCGCGGGGCGCGGGGCGCGGGGCGCGGGGCGCGGGGCGCGGGGCGCGGGGCGCGGGGCGCGGGGCGCGGGCGCGGGCTCGGCCTCTCCCTGGCGAGCGGCGCCGCGTCCCCGTCCGTTCTGGGTTTTATGCCGAAGTCTGATGCTGCTTCCCGAGGCGTTTCCCTCTGTGTCAGCGGGCACCGGCCGCGTCAGCCTCGCGCCTCTCGGGGCCAGGAAAGCGCAGTGGCCCGCCCGAGGCCGAGTCGCGGAGCCGGGGCCGCTGCGATCTGACCCCCGCTCGCCAAGATGGGGCTCCTCTCAGGACCCACCCGCCCACGCCGCCCCGCAGTTCCACGTCATGGGGTCACGGGGTGGCCCTTGGGGCTCAGAAGCAAGGGGAAGGCGGGGTGAAAATAACAGGATTCGCTGCCTACCCCGCACCCCCACACTCGTGTGTGTGTGTGTGTGTGTGTGTGTGTGTGTGAGTGACCAGGAACGTGTATATAACTCCTGAGGGTCTGTTCCCCGCACTGGGGCAGCAAACAGCTCCAGGGTGGATCCATTGGACCTCCTTGAGGGAGGGTGAAAGAGAAAAAAAAACTTAAGAAACCAAACAAGCTGGACTCCACCCGTGTGGTTTGGCTTACAGGTCTCTCCCTGGACAGAAAAACTGCGTTTTCACACGGGACCACCCTGCATCAGAACGGGAGAGAGCAGATGGACATTGGGAAGTCACCCCCGTCAGACCGTGCTGAATACACTTTTCATATTCTGGTGAACAAACGCCAGCTCCTGGGCCTTGACTGACTAGTGTCTGTTCAGACTTAACGCTTGCTGTGGATTCGAGAACTGCCTTGGGAAAGCCAGCTGAACTTGCGATGTGGCCTCCCGCGGCATCATGGCCAGAGATCGGGTTCACTGTAACACGCACGGTGTTAAGGGGTCCCTAAGGGCACACTGAGCATGGGCTCTAGGCTGAGTGGGCGTCATACTAGTTAATGAAACACTGCAATCTCTTAACGCAGCACTTTGCCTCTTTCAGCTCCCAACCAAGTAACATTTCGTAGCTGCTTGATTGTGCAGAACGTCCTGCAGTGCCTTTATGATAAGGTCGAGTCATCAGCAAGTTCCTCAAGGAACTGGGTTGATGTCTGAGACTGATAAAGACACTCCATTACCAGCCCAGCAAGCAGCTGCCGAGCCTGGTTGTCCAGCCCTGCCTTCCTCACTCGCCCCGCCCGCAACAGCCCAGCCTTCGTCTGCACTCCCTAAAAGCTCCGGAGCGCCCCACTGGTCAGGACGGCAGCTCTGGAGAGCCCAGTCTGCTACCTTCCTCAACCCCTGGTGGATTAAACCTTCTCCTCCTGGGTGCTCCTACATGGGATGTGGGTGCCCCAAGCAGTGGCTTAGCCTGTGCCCCACGGCTGTCCCCGGATATTTCACTAAGTTAGGTCTCATCTGTGATCTGCCTATTAGCCTTTATGAGTGATCAGTTGCTCTTTGTACATTGTCCAGAGTTTTCAGTTGTAATCTGTCAGAGCAGTAGGCTGCAGTGAGCTTACTCCACCTTGTCCAGCACCCGCACTCTCTCCTTTGTTTTGGAAAAATGCTTTGCTGAGTATGAAAATCTGTGTATAGTCTACACAGCTGTCACGTCATCGTCTTCCCTGTCATCTGACTTGCATGGCAGATGTGCTGTACTTCTTACCCTGTTCCGCTGTGTGCAACGTGCCATTGTTTCTCTTTCTTCAGATGTTTTCTTATCTCTGGTTTTTAGCACTTTGAAAATGATGGACCTTTGACAAACTAAATATTCAAATTCTAGCTGGGGTTTTCTGACCTCGGATCTGTGGTGTTATGATGCAGGAACTGCACTCCAGGAAGATCGGACAGGTCAAAGAACAACGGCAGGGCTGACCACAGGGTCTCACCTCCATATGTTCACAGTGGGGGTGAGCACACACAGGAAGTCTACACTTGATTCTCACAGTGGTGCTTGAGCACAGAGGGTCTGCCTTCGCTCTCACAGTGGTGGGGGAGCACACGGAAGAGTTGTGCTCAGGGCTGGCCGTGTGGTTTCGCAGGTAAAGCCTCTGCCTGCTAGGCCGGCATCACCTATGGGTGGCAGTTTGCTTCCTGGCTGCTCCACTTCCAATCCAGCTTCCTGCTCATGGCCTGGGAAAAGCAGCAGAAGATGGCCCAAGTGTTTGGGCCCCTGCCACCATGTGGGAGACCTGGATGGAGCTTCTGGCTCCTGGTTTTGAGCTGCTCTAATCCTGGCTGTTGCAGCCATCTGGGAAGTAACCAACTGATGGTTATTTCTCTCTCTCTCTCCCTCTCTACCTTTCTCCCTCCCTCCCTTTCTCCTTCCCTCTCTAACTCTGACTTTCAAGTAAACAAAACTTTAAAAAGAAGTAAAGGAAGGTCTGCGATTAGCTGTTCCCCCAATGTCATACGTGCTTACAGACAACAGTGTAGGTAACCAGTTACATAGCAGATTTGTCAGCTTCTGGGCTAAGTAGCCTGACCTCGTTTTCTCAACAGATGCGGTGTCTCATCATTTCTGGAAAATTCTTGGCCATCATTTTTTCAAATATTCTGCTCCATTTTCTCTTCTTCTGTTACTCCAATTATACATATGTTGTACCTTTGAAAGTATTCTAAGGCTTTTACTTGCTATGTTTTTGCTTGTTTCTACTATTTTCCTCTTTGTTTTAGTTTGAATAACTTCAGTGGTCTATTTTGAAGTTTACCAGTGAGGCTACTGAAGGCAGCCTTCATCTCTCTCTATTTCTTATTTTTGGTGTTTTTGTTTGACTGTTACAGCTCGCCTCTCTGTGCTGGAATTCCTTATCTTGTCATTTGTGTTGTTTACCTTTTCCATGCAAACCTTGAACATAAATTCCTGTCTGGCAGTCTCCAGTCTGAGCCATAGCTGAGCCTGCTTCTGTTGGTTTTTGTCCCTGAACTGTGGGTGCTCTTGTGTGTGCCTCATAAATGCTAAGTAGAAGCCAGGTGTTCCGGTCGGTCATGGGGACTGGGCTCATGGGATTTATATCTGGGGTGGGCATCCTTCTTTTCCTGCTGGGCTGTCACTGTGGCAGTAACAAACCAAGCCCAGCCCAGTTCCGGCCTGGCAGACGCAGCCCCTCCTCTGACAGCCTCACCTCAGAGTCCACCAGCATCTCCTGTACTCAGGTGCAGCGTGTTGTGTTGCAGGATTTTCTTTCTCTTTCTTTTTTTTTAACATCTACTTATTTGAAAGGCGGAGTTACAGAGAGGGAGAGAGGGAGAAAGAACTCTTCCATCCATTGATTCACTCCTCAAATGGCCACAATGGCTAAGACGGGGCCAGGCCGAAGCCAGGAGCTTCTTCTAGGTCTCCCACGTGGCTGCACGGGCCATCCTCCACTGCTTTCCCAGGCTCATTAGCAGGGAGCAGGATCAGAAGTGGAGCAGGCAGGGCTGGAATCAGCACCCATAGGTGATGCCAGTGCTGCGGCAGCTTTACCTGCTACGCCCCGGCCCCGGCCCCAGCCCCGGCCCCAGCCCTGGCCCGGCCCGGAGGAGCCTCTTGATGTTCCTGCCCCTCCTCTGGCCTCCGCTCTCCCCACTGCACCTGTGCCTCAGGCACTCTCTCCACGCTCTTCTCCCTCCCTCGGGGTGGACTGCTCTTGCTTGTTTCTCGGGGCTTCCTAGCCTGCTGCTGGGGGCACCGAGGGAGTTCTCAGCAGGCCGTGTGTCACTGGGCTTGGGGCGGGACACTGTCAGTGATTCCGTTCCTTCTCTGAGGAGACCTCTGAAGGGCTGGGCCCAGATGGTGGGTAGGGTTCTTTTCCTTTCCCAGCCTCAGCAGGTCCTCCCCTGTGCCCTAGGGAGTGGCATGGTTTTCTGTCTTTCCTGCCAGCATCTTCAGGCTTTAACTCTGTATGGAAGACGTGTTTGGGTGTGGGTTGTCCCCTCTACAGTGTGGCTGCCCTCCTCAGGACGCCTCCCCCACACAGAGGGCTCGCTCCGGCGCTCCCCTCTGCCATCAGCATTTCTTGGGGGTGCCCGGGGCGGCTCTATGGAGAGGAGCCTCCTTTGTGTCTCCAGCCGTGGCCTTTAGTGATCTGCTCCTTGGTTTATCTGAATTCGCGCCCGCTTTCCTGGCAGCCCATCTTTCTTGTGTTTCCTGTCAAGGGTGAGCCGTGCCTAGTCCTGTGTATCTGTGGAATTCTGGCTAGTTTATGATCCTGCAATTTCAGCTCCAATAGAATAAGAAAATGTATGGGGCCAGCGCTGTGGTTAAGCCCCCACCTGTGGTGCCGGCATCCCATGTCAGCACTGGTTCGAGTCCCGGCTGCTCCACTTCTGATCCAGCTCTCTGCTGATGGCCTGGGACAGCAGGAGAAGATGGCTCAAGTGCACGTGGGAGACCTGGAAGAAGCTCCTGGCTCCTGATTTTGGATTGGCCCAGCTCTGGCCATTGCAGCCACTTGGGGAGTGAACAAGCAGAGGCCAGCTCCTGTCATGATAGCCACTTGCCCAGGGGCCTGGCTTTCCACATCAGTGACAGGTGCTATTTGGGGCTGGACCTCAGATCACCACGGAGAGCAGCCATCACCGCTCCTGCTGCCTGGGTCACTCCTCTTCCTCCTGGTCCGTGTTAATGTAGACTGCGAGGTGGCCTTTAGGATGTCAGCTGGGGGAGTGCCCAGGCTCATCCCTAACTTTTGGAGTTTCCTTTTAACATCAGGGTGCTATAGCGAGAAATCTGTTGTCATGGGCCTGTTCTTACAGTGTTTCCCCCTGTTAGTTAAGACAGTGCAGTGCCCAGGAGGAGAACCGTGTCCTTCCAAACATGGTGACCTGTTAAATGGAGCCAGTCTATAGAGTTTTCAGGGTCATTAGCAAGACTTCCCATCTACGGTTGGTCTGGTTGAAGGGGGGAATTCTGCACCGCCTGTGCCATCAGAGTAAATCTGGCTGTGAAATCAGCTGACGGCCCGAGGTCTCCTCTCCTGGCTGTGCTCGCCGGTCCTCTGTGATGTGGCCAGGCCTTCTTTCAGGAAAGAATCTGGGATCACACCGTGCCTCCTCCTGGAGAGCCTTGTGGCGGAGAGAGGCAATTTCCCGTCTGGACGAGAACAGAGGAGAAACGAGGCGACAAGTCAGCCTCCCTCACTGTTTCCCCACTCGGGAGAGAGCTGGGGGCTTTCCCTGGGTTTTCAGCTTAACCCACGCTCCCCACACAGTCCGACTTCCTGGTCTTTTGGATTTAACTGGTGCTTACCGCACAGCCCCAGCTTGGTCACTCTCAGTCTCTCCCCTGTGAGGCGGGGGAAGGGCCAGCTCGGGAACCTGGCTCCAGAAGCAGCGGTTGACCCGGCAGCTCTGCAAAGCCAGGGGCCAGCACTTGACCGAGACGAGGCCTTTGGTCACGGTGTGAGAAATAATCCGTGCAGCCTGAGAATTCTGGTCAAAGCGAGGGGCCAGCCCCCACTCAGCTAGGGGGCGCTCAGACGTTGAAGACTGGACGGACAACATGGTTAACATTGAGACCCGGTTCTCCCAGCAATCAAGTGCAGACGACAGAAAACACAAGAAGCTCTCCCCACGACACACAAATTCTCTCACACAAAATGTCTGTTACAAAAAGCAGAAAAGCCTTCATTAAAAGGATTAGCATCTAATATCAACATATGATCTCATTATCTGGGGCAGTTAAATATATCAAGGAACAAATAGGTAGGAATAAGGTAATCCTGTTATCTGGACTTCTGAGATAGGAGCTGCCTTTAAAATAATTTCCTTCTAATCTCATCCAACCTAGCATTCACCCGACCCTCTCAACATACTTATTCCTCCAGTTCCTCTTTCTATCAGAAATTCTCTTAACATTCCATCAACAAGAACACCCTCATGCTTGCAGCTTCCTCCACAACTTTCCTACCTACTAGTTCTTTCTGTGTATCCTGAAGCAATCCTCTAACACCTCAAAGTTAAGAGAAAAACATCTTTCAAAAGGATAAACAGAATTTTAACCCATAGCTACTTTAAAGTAAATTAAGTAGGAAACAGGTCAATGACTTTTACACAATTATACTTTACCAAAGTGTTGCACACCCTAGAAATTTCAGGAAAATTTTAAACCTAGAGGACAAAACATGAAAGTATAGAACAACAAAGTTTCGTTAAAAGACATAGCTCTGTGAATCTGCTTGCAAATATTTTCACATCATCATAGATGGTCACAGTAACAACGCAGGGACTTACCGTATGTGAGAGAGTACACAGGATTCCACTGTTCAGGCCTAGGCCCTGCGATGGGGTAGTGGTGAGGAGAAAGCTCTATGAATTTAGCAAGACATATATCAGCTACAGCCGTGGAACAGAGGGATACTAAATAGGTGGCAGAGAAGTTTCCATAATTTAGCAAACAAAAAAATGGGAACCCTTTGGATCAGAGAGGCAGGAGGCCCGCCCCTGTGAACCTGGACAAACAACAAAACAAAACAAAAACAACCAAACCCCACCAACTTAAGAGGGAGGGAAAGCATGGTCCTGCAGAGGGTCTTATCAGTGGGAAAAATAGCACTTTAAGACAAAACCTCTTAAGACCAGTTCTTGCCAGTGAACTGCCTATTGGTAAATAGTGCCAAAGCAGGTAGGGGAAATGAGGCACAGAGTGTCCTTCGGCAGGGAGGGCCAACTAAGACCATATGCTGGGCTTTAGCTGCTAAACCGATGTGATGGTGCCCATACTTCTTGACATGTGTGATGAGAGAGGGGGCCTGTGAACAGAAGCTGGACAGGTCAGCCAGGACAG